TACTGACATTAATCCTGAGGAAATCTAAAGTTATATCTGAGTACACTGATCTATAAGTTCTGAACCTGATTCGAGCATCTTAACTAAGTCATGATTAATAAATTTCTGAACATAGACAAAGTAATTTGTTTATGACTTAAAACATAAATCAACACTTACTGTAGTCGGCGAGCCGTGAGCGTGACGGTTCAGGTTTTTGAAAAATTTTCTGACTCGTAAAACTTTTCAGAGACGCAGAAACGTGCTCTGATACCAATTGTAACACCCCGCCTTAACATGAAAACCAGAGTGCGATTTTCGCAAAACTTTTCTAAATGAAAGCATTTATTTTGCGAAATACTGATTCAGAGTGTTACCGTAAAATCTATCCTATTCTGAAAACCGTTATTTTATTTACTAATAAAACGGTTATATAACATGATAACAGACTAACGTCGGATCAAAAGCTGGTTTAGTAAACTGAAACAGTAGCTGAACCATAGTGTAGCCAAACATGATTTATACATATATACAAATGTCCTGAACCGGTCGGCAGCTCACTTCTCGGCTCCAACTCCGTGACCTGAAAATAAATGGGGAGGTGGAGAGCTTGGTGGCCTCTTCATCTTATGCCACTTCTTAGGAGCTTTAGGTGCTAACTCATAGCTTAGTCATAAGTTTAGGTGTTAAGATAATGACACCTCATGCTTAATTGCATGGTAATGCCTCTTCATCTTATGCCACTTCTTAGGAGCTTTAGGTGATAACTCATAGCTTAGTCATATAAGTTTAGGTGTTAAGATAATGACACCTCATGCTTAATTGCATGGTAATATCACATGACTTGAACCAAATAATGCTCACGACATTATTTATTTGGAAACCTTCAAATGCTACGTATTTGAGTGATTAATAATGATTAATCTTAATTAATCACAATTAATATGCTTAATTAATTAATTAAGCATGATACTTAATTACCAAAATTAGTCCGAACGTAAACGTGACTTTGAAAATAATTTCGAGTAATCTCGACTGAAATAATTTAATTCCGAAAATAATAATCGATAATATTATTATATCGGAACTAAACACATGATTATATTACTAACATGACGGGATATTACAATAAATATTGTGCTCTTATCTTAAACTACCGAACACAATATCTGGTTGGTTAGGAGATGAGGTACAGTACAACCTGACTAATACTTACTATTTTGCGTAAAACTGCTACTAAAGATGTACTAAGAGAGCCGTCACACAGAATTTCCAGAGATTCTATAGTGAAATGTTAGAAATCATAAGCACATCCTTTTTATTTTCATTTATGATGTAGTCTTTCACATATGCCTTCAGTTATGTAAAGCAGTGGTCAAAGGCAGTTATTATTAATTTGGATCAAGAAATACATATTATCACACATGAAAGTAGCCAACATTTATGGTACTTATTATTTCTGAAGAAATGTAATAGGAGGAAGCATACAAGATTAAACCAAAGATCTGCAAGATGTTCTTCCCCAGCTCAATGTATGGCATACTAGTCTAACACGTGTGTGTTGATTTAATATTCTTAATGGTTACAAGAATCCAAAATTTATGGAACACAATAACACGTGATATCTAAGAAAAATTAAAGCAATCGATTTGATCATATGTATATTACTTACCATTGCAGTATTAATAAATATAATAGCATATGACGATTAATTTTTTTTACATTTTTCTAATCACATAATTAGATTTTAATCAAAATAATATTTTAATATTATATTTTCAGAATTTATAATTAATAATTTTGTTTATCAAATTCTGAAAATAATATTTATAAAATTATGAAGACTTTATATGGGTATTTTCCTATTTAAGTATTTTTAGCTAAAATAATTATCATTATTTTTCATTATTAGTATGTATATATAAATTACAAAAGAAAATTATTTTCGATCACTAGCTTATATCAAAAGAAAAATAAGATGTTGAAAACAAATTAATTAAATTATGGAATTATAATTAACAATTGGAACTTATTCACACCAAGGTTCTCAGAACCGGACTGATCATCGAACCGACTAAGCTTTATGTTCAATAGTTCACTAGTCCGACTAGTGGCTTATTTGATATTAAATTTATTAATATTTTCATTATATATAGTACTTTAATATAATATAATAAATTTTATTATTGAAGAACATTTTAAATATTTAAAAAATTTAAGACATTCAAATGCCTAAACTATTTAATATCATAAACTATTCATATCGAATTTATTTAAATATGTATATTTATTTATATTAAAAATATTTATAAATATATAAAAATAAAGGATCGGTTCGACTTGTCGTTGACTAACCAGTTCACTCTAGCAAACCAAATTAGTCTGCCCAATCCAAACAGTTGGATAAACCGATTCGGTTCTCAAAACTTTATTATTGAAATGATAAATGAGACAAAATATATTTTATCTAGCATTTATATTGATTTACATTCAGGTTTCAAAGATTTTTTTTTTACTTTAAGAATTTCGATGTATTTAACTTTGGAATTTTAAAAATTTTCAAAAAGTGAGGAGGTATTTAATTTTTATTTGAAAAATCCCAAACTTTTATGAGGTATTTATTTTATCTATTACTGGAATTTGTTTGGACATTCTAATACTTAATGTCGAGATTTGACAAAATACATATAAGAAATCAAACCACCAAATCCCACCTATGAACTTAAAATTTCCAAGAATTTTAGTAAAATAAAAAATTTTAGTGTCTTAAAATTTAAGTCTCATATAAATACACCCTCCAAAAGTTAACTTTGATTGGTGCCTACGTGTAAATCGACATATTCTCAGTATAAGGGGGTTGATTCTCCTACAGCAAAGTCGAGGGTTCACGTGAAATTTAATGTGAATAATTTTTTATAGGTAAGATACACAGAAATAAGAATAACAAATATAAAAAAAAAACATTAAAAGACAAATGACAAAAGGAAATATTGATTTTGCTTTTCCTGTAAACGGCATTCCTACTGAAAATGACCTATAAGTTGTAACTGCTGAAAATACAGTACAGCTCCACCTTAAAGAAAAACAGTGGATCATTCAAGATAATAAGACCTGCATAATGAGTCATTACCTTGTACCAAGAAAATCTGGTCGGAACTGAGTCAGGTTGCAATTTGGTCCACTCAGCACTTACACCAATGTCATATATCTTTAGGAACTCTCCCTTGAGCCCTACCTGCAATCAAATTACATTACTTCAGTCAAACAGTTGTTCAGTTCATTGTAGCTTACGTGAGTTGTAGTTTGAAAAGGCTATACGTGCAGAACATTAGTTCAGTGGTTGTTTATAAGCTTCTGTAAGAGAAGCCAATAACCGTATAATTGTGTTTCTTTATTACTTTTTTGCATGATTGGATCTTTATGTTGATGACCTCTTATGAAAGACTTCCACCAAAATTATGTGTCCTGCCAAAAAGTTGTCATTCTTACTTTCATGTGTTAATGGGCCTGAGCATAGTTGTGGGACCAAGCAACTTCCACCGACATGAACTTTTGGAAAAAAAAAAAGTAAGTGGGATTTATGTATACGGAAGGGATGTTGAAAATCGAGAATTTTGAAAAAAAAAGGAAGAAAGAAAAAGAAAGAAAATTCCGTGTCATAAATTGCCATGACACATGCTTACAGTTGACTTGAAACCTATTTACAATGGTCATCTCTTTTTCATGTGAAAGAAAAACAGAATCAAAACTAAGCCACAGAATAACCTAATAGGAAAGAATGTGCATTGCATTTGCAAATATTAGAAATACAGAGCAAATACGATATCAAACTAAGCAACATAATAACCTTAACGGAAAGCATGTGCATTGCGTTTGAAAATAATTGAAACAACAGTAAAAATCCAATCTGTTGCACCTATACCATTCATGGAGTTTCACAAAGCAATCAACTTCCTTGATATGTAAAATTCAAAAGGAAATTTTCTCTATGAAGAAACCCTACTATATATTACAGTGCCTTTACATGACTATAATTTGTTTTAATGGCTAGACTTTTGGTCTTATCTCTCAGTTGATATCATACATGGTCACTAGTTAATTACATGAACATAGAAATAAAAATGTCGCGTACGTTACTGATTTCTCCTATTGTTTGCATTTATGTTCTTACTCCTGTTCACTACATTTTCTCTCCTTTCAGACAATATTATATACCTAAAATAGAGATAAAAGAAAATGAAACGTAGAGGATTAGTAAAACGTTACTTTCCATAAGTTTACTTTTATTCCATCAACAACCACAAAAATAGTTCGACTCAAAAGCTAAGGGCTAAGTTAACGAATAGTCCAAGGTAACCAGTGTAATATCAAGCTGTTACATGCTAAAAGTTCGGTTTTTCACTTAAACACAGTTAAATTCTGTTAATAGTTAATTCTAGTTTCAACTTTTCATATCACAGTTAATATAACTTGACTCTATCAATAGTTAATTCCAGTTCTGAATTTCCATATTACAGTTAATATAATTACATTCTACAAATATGAATTCCAGTTTCAAATTTTTATACAACAATTAAAAGCACATAAATGTGCTCAAGCCCATGAGAATGGCCCAATAAAGCATCAAATATACTTTTTATGATCAGTTTCACTACTTCAGGGTTTCTCACCAAGAACACAACAGGATGATCTTATTATACCAATATTTAGGACCAGATCAAGCTCCAGCTTACCATTGGGCCCAAGATGAATGACTTAACAGGTTATCACATTTAGTGACACTAGTGCATTATAACAACCATACATCACAAAGAGCACTAAAAAATAGTAAGATGAGATCATAAGACTTTTTCCATATTAACATGCAGCCAAGAGAGAGTAACATGGGCTACCTGGTATGTCCAGATGTAACCTGTGATATCAAGATCTCCATTTTTACAGCCTTTAATCTTTATCTGACCCCTGAAACCTGCCCCATCCTTCTCGAGGAAGGCACCATAGTTCTGAAGCAAGAAAAGTTGAGGGGAAAATGAAAAATTTCAGCCTGTACAATGCGCATTTTTAACTTTTGAAACCTAAAGTATTTGTTTCAGTAAAATATAACCTATTGTACCCGAGAATCATATATCGCAACTTCTGGGAAGTTGCAGAAAATTGCCGGAAAACGGACGAAAACTCATCGAGAACATGAAAAACATCACGGAAATGGATGAGACAAGACTTAAACTCGTTTGATCTATTATAATAATTTTAATAAATAGAAAGTTAAACAAATACAATATTCAGATAGGCCTTCCATATGAAAAGTATATACCAATTATGAACACGAGGACAACAGAAATAATTTAGTTATGCCTATTATAAGTAGTAATCCTTTCGTCCCACAAGTCCTCTTAAGACATTATTTGGGATAAAGGTCCGTAGCATTACAATACCCATTATAATCTTATGTTTAAGGTTACGTCTCTATTTAATTAGACCATAGGTTATCAGTTAGGTAGCATTTTGAAAACAGCTTTGGCGGCTGCAACTTTTTCCTAAAGGAGAACTTCAGTGCTACATAAACTCTTCCAGGCAGCATCCCGAGAAAACTAATAATTTGTTTCCTTAACAAGTGCCTCTTATTTTCCTATCATCAAAACTCTTGACCATACACAACACACACACACACACATTATTAGCAGTAGTGCATCTAGGAAAAAACTGCTTAGGAAGTTATCATTATGAAATAATGTGGTAGAACAGAGTACTACACCAGTACGGTGGTTTTGATGTCAATCAGTGAAAAATAAATATCTTGGCCAGACAACAAATAAACTGTTGTAATCTGCATTAATAAGTTATATTATCATTTTAATATTAGGAGATGTGTCCGTTTATTCTTTAACAGTTTTCATCTGACAGAAAAAGTGTACCAATAAACATTATGCAATCAACTACAACAATATTCGAATGGCCAAGGTAGATTACCTGCAATCCCACTGTTTGAGATAACAGTGTGATTTCATTATATCCTTGAATAAGATCAACAGGCTGAACTACTTCTATCCATTTACCTTTAGCACTACCTTCATTTCAAGAAATAGCACAAAATCATGGAAGGAAGTAATGTAACCATACAGTTAAAATACAAGCATGGAAAAGATGAAAAGGCATAACAGGTGGTTTACCATAAGAGTTGAAGAAAGAATTTCAAGCTTTATACTCCAATGTTAAGATTTAGAATAACATGAAAAAGTACACTTCCAATGGAGATTATCAATCAGTTCTTGCCAGATAATATTTATAAGAAGAGTGCCCCACTAAATTTATCAAAATGCAAGTAGTTATATGGATGACATGATGATACCAAAGAGATTATCACTGCACATAATAGTTGGAAGGCCTTTGTTCGTTTATCTTGTGGTGTAGGCCACATGCTACAAATGTTAATCCACTTGTCAAGAATCAGACTGAAATTGTAACACAACATCCCACATAGTAAGAAATTCGCTAATTTATCCAAACTTGGCTCATATCTTTAACATATGCCTAAAGCATCATAAGCAATAAAAGCAAATTCGACTGAGACCACATCCTTATGCTCACATAAATACATACAAATTGAAACCTACCTGTAAATTCTCCATTGACAAAAATATAGACCAAATCACGCATGCTGTCAATGGTAAGCACAGGACTAACTTGATTTTCATCCCAAAATTTGATATCCTCATCAGAAATATATATTCTGCAGGCAACAGAAAATTTAATGAGAATGTAATAGATCACATTTGACGAGAAAACGGGTAACTTATGTCTAGGTTCCGAAAGAGAGAATAATCAACACGGACCTAAACAAGAATTAATGCATCTTTATCATTCCCATAGCACCTATCATTAAATATATCTTATCGCCTTTATGCATAATTTCAGAATGCGCTGAGCCTAAGTGGTAGACATATGCTTCTTAAGCTTATTTGGCATAAATGAGTGCTTCGCATTGACAAATGTACTGGTTTGGTTTTGACTATATTAGGCTTGAGAATTACCATAAACTATTTTAGTTTTTCTTTTTTTCTTAAGTTACCGTATACTACTCTTACATTTTTTATTTAATTCATATATTAATTTTATAAACATGTATACTTTTATTTTTAAAACTTATTTGTATTTTGTTTTTATTATATTACATATCAAAATAATCATATTAAATGATTTTCGATTTGACATCCATATTGCATATATAAAATAAAAATAAATTCAACTATCTTTATAAATAAAACTAATTTCATTATCAAATCAAGATAAAAAAATATCAAATAACCACATAAATTATTTTATAAAAATAATAAAAATTGAATTCATCAATACACCATAAAATAATCACTTTAATTTTATTTTTTTTTTATACATTATGGATAGAATATAAGAATAAGGTATTACATAAAATGAATTTTGAGAAATATTATTTCTCGCTTTAAATATATTATAGAAGGAACTGTGTTATTATATTTTTGGAAATAATAAATATAAGAAAATATCATAATTAAATATAATAAAATATTTTTATATTACATAAAGTTAGAAATAATACATTAATGCGTAAATTAATATTCTAAATTATTAAATTATGTGAATTTAAAATACTTGAAATTTAATAAACGAGAAACGGGTGTCTCTATAAATATAATATATAATCACAATGCAATAAAAACTTATTTTTTTTTTATGAATTTGAATAAAATATATGGATTATAAATAATATTTGATTTAGATATAAACAATTCTAAAATATAAAAAAAAATATCACAACTCGCCCATATATATATACTATTAGGCTTAGGAATTATCATAAACTATTTTAGATCCCATTATTTCTTAAGTTACCATATACTACTCATATACTATCAGATCCCCTTACTCTCTAAAATTAAAACCCCTCCCCTCAGATCCCCTTTACTTGCTTTCATTTTCATTACCTCCGAGCCTACAACATTGGGGCGCTGGGTTTCGCGACGGCAGACGCTTCGGGCTGACGCAGCTGGGCCTCGATTTAAGGCTATTGTTGGTCTCCAGTGCGGAATGCGGAAGGCGAGCCATGCGGGTTTGGTGTAGATCTAGCTGCCGTTCTAGGGTGTTGTGCCTTTGGTGTCGTGTTGGGGTTTGGTAGTGGTGCTTCTCGGGGTGTGGCTGTGATTCTGATTGCCGATGGTGGTCGGGGTGGAGGCTCTGTCGTCTTCTCTCTCCGGTGCCCCTTTCCCATGGTGTTTGGGTTAAAGGGGTGTTCGGCATCCTCGGTTCTTGGCAGTGGTATGGGCAGGCTTTGGGCGGCGGTGGTGTGGGGGGAATTGGGTCGGAGTTCTTCGGGCTTCAGGGTGGGGGCTGAGGTCGACCACCTTGGTGCTGGGTTGGGTTCTAGGTTTGTGGTTCCAACTAGGCGTTATTGGCATTTT